TGCAGAACTACTCCAGTCACTCAGGAACCAGCAGGATCCCTCATTTCAGGTCCTCGCTCCTCACGGAGCTCTCACCTGTCCCAGTGATGTTCCAAAAGGGTTAAGCACTGCCAATTAAAGTAAAACTGAAGGAATGGCCTCACATTAGAGCATCTGACCTGGATTCAGAACAGACAGAATGCTGATTCTGAAATGAACTCCATTTCTCCAGGAATTGTGGGGAATACATTATGCTGTACCTCCAAGCAATCCATGAATAATGATAGCAGCCTTCAAATAGCCCAGACCTCAAACTACTTCCCACCTGTCTCCTCATCTGAATACAATTTAATTCACACACAGGCTGCTTGTATTCAGTTTTCTGAAGGTGCAATTATTGCAGTTCTTTCTGTAATGCTGATTAAGACAATGTCCAAACTTCTCTCTCAGAACCCTCTTATGGAACAACCATGCTCTGAAAAAACTCTAACTCTGCTGCAGATGTAAAGAAAGCAAGCTCCAGGAGCAACAAACTGGAGAGAGGAAAATGGCATCCATCTGACCCATCCCTCTTGATTCACCCCCTTAGGAATCACAAAGTTTTAAAAGCAGAGTCCTAAGAGACACAATCAAAGCGTGCCACACTGAGACCTGCAGTGAAATTCCTGCCTCTGTCCAACCCTAAAGCATGAGCATTCTGAAAGTGTAATTTATATAAGATTTTACATGAAAAGAAGACAATAAACAAAAATAGCACAACTGACACTGAGCCTAACTTCTGAAAAGGTCTAAATAGATTTTATTTTTTAATCTGGGATATTCTTCATTCACTGTCACATGATGAAAACAACTACAGTTAGTTGGCCACACCAACAGGACACATAGTATGTTTTTTCAAAATAATGTTTTCTTAGGCTCCATATTACAAACTACCTCTGACATAAAAATTAAGTTATTGAAAGGTGAGTGCATTAAAATGCTATTTGAAATCAAATATTAAGACCTAATATTTGCAATCTTTACCTCCTAATTGGAACCTTTGCTTTCTTTCTGAACACTATACTCATATCAGTCCTTTTGTTCCATGAAGAATGAAATGGGTTCTGATGCTCTTGAAATAAGACTTGGACTCTAAAATAACTCTAAGATAATTAAAGAATTTTTAAATGTACACAAAATGCATCAAAATACAGAGATATACATATATAAATCTGTTCTAAATAGTAATAGTTTCAGGCAGCAGTTTGTTTAAACCATGCAAAGCTTTTTTCACCCTTGAGTTTGAGAGTTTACCTACTGGATAAATCCAGTGGAGAAGAAAAGGAAAGTGAAAAATAGTAAACTAATAACTCACTCCTCCTTTATGGTACTTGAATTTATTCTGTTGCTGAAAAACAACAATTCCAAATACATCCAGAGACGAAAACAAACCAATCTGCTGCACTTCTGTGTCAAACAGATATGAAGACTGATGACCTGGGTGTGCAACCCAAGGAAATGAAATTCCTCTGCCACACAGCCCTGGGTGACCCTGCCCTGCAAAGCTGATCCTGCTCTGCTCGGGATTCCCACCCCTGTGCAGGAGAGCCTGGGGAGGGGAGGAACCAAACCAGCTCAGCCTGAATCAGCAGCAGACCAAGGGAGCCACCTGCAGTTTGCAATCCTGAAGCAAATTCATGGCGAGTTCAGAGGTTTTTCTTCCTTTTTCTGTTGACAAAGCAGTGTAGGTAGCTGAGCTAGTGCAACATAGCTGTGCTTAACACCAGAGATTTCTGCATTCAGCTGCCTCACACCTAAAAATGCAGCTGGCTTAGAGGGAATCTGGCCACAGCTGGATCCACTGAAAGCTTCCAAATGCTGAAGTTCTCTGATGAATTGGATTTGGGCTTCTCAGCATAGCAAATTCAAAGCCATTTTCTAAAAGTACTAATTGCTGCTCCTTGTAAATACAAAGTCCCAAATGCAAATGAATGCAAAGAGTTTTCTTTCTAGTTTAATAGTGCACTGACCTATCAAATATTCTTTATATACATTATATATACATTATACACATTATTTATATACATTTTCATTATATACATTATACACAGAAAATCAAAACCTCAACATTTTGTCCATGTTTTGTTCAATTACAGCTTACATGGAAATTTGTCTTTTCTCTTGTCCCTTCCCACTTAAATTCCCAAAATGTGAAAAACACCACTCAGCTATTAAGACCTTACTTCAGTTTTGAAAACATATGAAAATGATTGTTGAATTGTATTTTAAAAGTCTAATTGTAAAGCAACAGAACCCTGATGGAGAAGTTTTCCCTTGAGGCAAGTTGGATGGATAATGAATTCTGTATTGGAACAATCCCAGTAGTTACAGACTATTATGTACTAATTACTACCTTTACAGACCTACTGTACACATAATTAATTTCTTCAGAGCACTACTATCATTCTTGACTGGCAAAATACACAACCTAAATTACAAGAGGCAGAAATTAACATGATCCTTTAGGGAGAAGGCATTAACTTGCTTTGCAGTGCTTTGCAATTAGACCATCAATCAAACAGTGAGAAATGATTTGGATAGCAGCAGGCCCAGCACTGAGTATTGTCACAGTCCTGAGGATGGCACGTGTCACAACCTGGCTGCAGAGCCACAGCACTGCAGCCTCTACCTGCACCTGTTAGGAGACACTTCAGCTTTCAATTCTAGGTGGATTTAACACCCCAGAAATTAAATAGGAGCTTTTTGACATCATATTCCAGCAAGCACTGAAGACCTGACAGTGTTGCTGGTGCTCTCCCTTCTGCTGGTGGCCAGAGCTATCAGCTAAGGGACAAAAGCAAAGCTTGGTAAAAGAGTGCTTGCCATCAAATGACCTGCTTAAATGATTTCAAAGATTTAAGTAGGCTCTTGACAAGAACACTAGTATTTTAAACTGTTAATTTCAGTTGTTGGGGGTTTTAGGACGTTCTACACAATTAAATCATACACATCCCCAAGTCCATCAAAAAGCAGTAGCCCAGGCTTCCTGAGATGTATAACTACAATGCATTAATAACAATGTGCAAAAATTATTGTTCAACTTCACAACAATATTCCTCCCCAGAAGTACCACACCCCTTCAGCTCTGGCTGCATTCCTCTAAAACAGACAGCACTCAAACAGCAAGGAGCTGACAGCTTAGTGACAGCCAACATTAAATCATTTTTGGAGTATCCTAAACCAAAACTACGTTACACGAGAAAAATACACCAAGTGTTTTTCTCATTGTACCAAAGAATCATGAATAGAATTCAGAGGTATAATCAAATTTCAGTGCTGCAACTTACAGGGAATGACAAATTGTTAATAAATGTGCACATTACCATTTCTTTTACTTCAGTTACCATTCCCACTGGCATTCCAAAATTCCACAGAATACAAGACAGTAAACACTAAGTCATCCAGACTGCTTTTGGCAATTGTCAGTTTGCTTCCACTCATCCCATTGTTTGTTTAACATGCTGACTGTGCTCCTGAGAGAATATCACATGCATTTCTAGTTGGGTTTTTATCACTCTCCTGTAATGTACTCAGGGACCATCTCATGAAATGGGACTAAAGCAAAAGGGAAATCTGATCCCAGATGATGCCTGAAATAAGTATTTGGGACATCGTGGAGCTGCTTAAGGTCAAAGGGGAGGAAGAACAGTGAACATTATTCTGTGCTGCAGGAAAAAAAGTTGCTTCTGGCATGCAATTCTTTGGGTCTGTGCTGCAACTAAATGCTCCAAGAGTCCTTTTTCACTTCCAGTAGGTTCTCAAGTTTAAAAACCCTTGAACTCACACAACTCTGCCTTTCTGCAGCAGTCAGCCAAGTAAGGTTTTCACATCCTGAGTACTGTGCAGCAGCATTTTTAATGTGCATCCTTTGCTATGGCATCTTGTTTTCTACAACCATTAACTGAGAAGAACTATCTGCAAGGCTATCAGTACACTAATCTATTGGAGGAGATTCTGTTGTTCCTAGTTTTACAACTGTGCAACTATGTCAACATGAATTTCTTCTCATTGGAAACTGTCAGCTATGTCAACATTTCAAGAGAGTTTTTTTCAGCATTTTTAATGAAGAAGCTTTTCAGGAATTCTGAAACATTTCTTCAGATTTCTGGTGAAAGAAATCAGCTCAAGGCAGAAGCTTGTCCTTTTCATTTAGAAGGGACTCATGCCATTCTGTCATCTGCTGCTGGGCATTCCTTCCCTTAAAGGTCTTCCTGCCACACCAAAGGAAGTGACCAACTCCACATCATTTTACCCTCCCTGCAGTGCTAGGAGCCAAGAGTCAATCCAATTGGGCATGGAAAAAATGTTAAATTACTGCAAAGGATGCTTTTGAATTACTGCATGGAATAGCTGAACATTTAGACCAGAAAGTGCTTCCAAGGTGTGCTGCAAAAGGAGAATTCTAATGGTTTAAATTCACTGACTACTGAAAGAAATATGAATCTATCTTATGAAAAACACAGCCACGACCAACTCTTTGAAGAGGTTTCAAAAGGACACAGGAAAAAAAATACATTCAGAAATAATTCAAGGAATCTACTTAAGAAATAGTTCATTACAGTCCTCTGAGAGCCCTTCCTGAATTAATGTTTTTTAACACTTTTTTTAACACTGTGTTAGTAAAAACTGCTGTTTTTATTCCAGAAATTCTCAGCTAGGAATAACAATGCAAATAAACATGGTTTTAGGATCAGAATTCAAATTTAATTATAATTCCATTAAAAGAAAACTCACATCTGTCTGCAACATACAGTGCACTTTTAAAAGGTATTATTGCAAAAAAGGTTCCTCCCCTCATGCTGTAAAGTGAAGGGGGAGCAATTCTTGTAATAGAGTGTTATGCTTAATATATGTTTTAAATCATCTTCCTGCTATAAAACCATCAAATGAATTCCACAGTATTGCACAAAGCATAAAAGAAACTGCCATTACACACTTTTAAACTTAATAAAAGCACAATAAAGAGCAAAGTAAGAACGTACCTTTCATTTGGGTTCCAAAGGTAAGTGCCAATTTTGCAAACAGCTCTGGGTCTTCAAATTTATCTTCTTCAGCTTTTACCCAAAAGCTGTTTTCTCCTATTTCTTGAGGCTCGATCTGAAAGAAAAACAGCATCTCCAGAGTCAATCAGGAGTGTTTTCAACAGCCAAGTTAAAACAAATGCTACAGAAGCTCAGTGATAATAGGGCTGAGGAAGTTCAGCCCCGTTCTGGAACGTTCTCTCCTGCTGTTCCTGCACAAGCACGGTGAGCTGAGCTGTCCTCTGGCCACAAATGGGCTTTACTGTACTTGTCCCACTCAGCAACTTTTGCAAACAGAACTAATAGCAGCTGGCTTTCAAAGTGTTCCAGCTCTCTCTTGATGACTTTCTAGAGAGTTCCCAAACTCTTCAGCACTCCTTTCCCCTGCTGCCTGGAACTGTGTGGAACAACTCAGCAGGAAATGAACTGGCCATGGGGACATTGCAGAGACTGAGGTTGAGCTCTCTACTGGCTGTACTAAAGGAAGAAAATGCTCTGCAATACAGAAGCTGAAAGAAACCTTGACTCTTCACGTATGACTCAGAACTGCTGTTCTGTTTTCAAAACACATTCCTCTAACAGCTTTGAACACGTTATTAATCATTGTTTATAAATTGGTTTAAATGCCAAATAATTTCCAAGGGCTATTTAACTTCAAGATGATATGCAGGGAATTTAGCAATACTGCATTTGTCAACCTCACTCCAATTTCCCTGCAACATCCTGGTCCTCCAGCTTTCAGCCCTGCTTTACCAGCAGCTCCAGGGAAGACAATTTAAAAAACTACCTTAATCCAATACTAATGGGGAAGACAGTTACAGCAAAAGGGACTAAATTAAACTGTAAGAATTTTATTCCTCAAATGATGGCTCCTTAAAAGTGATGATCAACAGACTTTGCACTTTCTCAGTAGGCAGGAGATCTCTGGCACTGTTCCCAGAGCACTTCAGCAAAGCGTCCATCTGCAGTTCCTTCCCATTGTCACAGCCAGTGCTCACACAGACACTTCAGAAATTATTCCTACAAACTCCCTAATGGAACTGATCCCAATGCAATTGGCAGCAATTACCAATATGTGTTATAAAATAAAAGCTTGCTTTTCTCTGTGCTTACAGGACAGCAGTCTATGTCCCACAGTCACAAAACTCCTGCAGTGATCCTGATCCAGTCCTTTCTCCCCAAGACACTGAATTCCTCCTCCCACAATGAAGCAAAGTTATCACTTATCCTTTTATGCAATTATTTTATAAGAATTACAGAAAAAGTAAAGATTTCCAAACTGATTTTAAAATTTATTTAAATTAATGCTCTAAAAACATGGCAGGCTGTTTTGTATCATTCTAGTTAAATATATTGAAAGCCTGTTTTTAAACTATGGCTGCTAGATACACTTTCAGATTGCTTTAGCACATCTCCAAATATTTTGAAATAATTTGAAATCATTGAAGCATTAATTCTTCTGCCAAAAGAAACTATAAATTGGCACACCATGCATTTCCACACAGGCTCTCTCTCAACCTGCTGGATTCTTCCTCCAAGACTGGTGGGATTATTCTGCTGTTTTGTTACCTCAAAGCCTTTTGACTACTCAGAATTTAGAGGAACCACACAGCATGGAATATATGAAGTCCTTTCATTTGCCTTGATGATTTGGTCATTTTGGTACTTTTTCCTACAGCAAACATCAACATATCTGTCATATTTTATACCACTAAAAAACTGCCAACCACAACTTTAGAATGCCATGATTGAGTCTTGATAAAAGCTGCAATTATCTAATACCCCACATTTATTTTTTTTATATGGAAAGAGCAGTGTCTACACTGATCAAAAAGGGGTTTTAAAACAACACACCCCAGCACACACCTGGATGTTTGTCTAACTTCTCCTGTTAGAGGGACTGGATATACTGAGAGGCAAGGAATAACTGGGAACTGCTTTAAGGGTTCACTTGCAAATCAGATTGTGCTTGCTCTTTACTGCTCAAGTAATGCTTGGATTTTAAGATTGTATTTAATCACATCTCATTTTTAAAATTGTCAAGCTAAGACTGGAAGCTCATGATGCCCAAACCTTTCCCTTGAGCAGTCCCATGGCTCCTCCCAGTGGCCACTGCTCCAGCACATCACTAACTGAGAATAATAAATATCTGGGATAAATAATCAACAAGTAATGTCAAGGCCTGATATCAGCAATCTCTGAACTCACAGCAACATAAAACGTCACGAATTTAAAAAGCTTAAGCTGGTTTGCTTTGCTAGGTATGTGTGAAAGCTGCTTTATAACAGTTTGGAGATAGATGTATATTTAGATACAACTTGATGCAAAGCTGCTCTGGATGCTCACTGCAGCTGATACAATGCACTGGAAGTAAGCTGGCTTCCTGGGACACCTGGTACAACAAGGAGCTCTGCCAAGATCATTCTCATTTAAAAATCCACAGTGCCAAGCCTATCTGTGCAGTGCAGGAGGGGAAGGAACAGCATCCCCACACCTGCTGGCATACCTTGGACCAGTTGATTCTCTTCATTGAGACTTCCAGCTTATACTTCTTCTTCTCCTTCATCCCGTGTGGCAGCGCTGGCACCACGGGGAAGGGAGCAAAGAGACCCCCTCCCAGAGGGGGTGGCATCGGGGGTCCCCCGAGAGGCGGCGGGGGAGGGATTGCTCCCCCAGGCAGAGGAGGAGGAGGAGGAGGCCCTGCTCCTCCAGGCAGAGGAGGAGGAGGAGGAGGCCCTGCTCCCCCGGGCAGAGGAGGAGGTGGGGGCACACCGGGCAGAGGAGGGGGTGGTAGGATGGCTGCACCCGGCAGAGGAGGGGGAGGTGGAGGAAGGGATGCGCCAGGTAATGGAGGAGGAGGAGGAATTGCTGCTCCACCAGGCAGGGGAGGTGGTGGAGGAATTGCTGCACCACCAGGAAGGGGAGGTGGTGGAGGAATTGCTGCTCCGCCAGGTAATGGAGGAGGAGGAGGAATTGTTCCTGCACCAGGGAGGGGAGGAGGAGGAGGGATGGCTCCACCAGGGAGTGAAGGCGCTGGAGATGGTGGGACGTTCTCACTTGGGAGGGCTGGAGGTATTGCTGGGACTTCTGTCAGGCTTGGACCCTGGAACACAACAGAGGAATTCCATCAGTGACAGGAGGCAGTTTGATACGAAGCTGAACCAACCAGGATGGTTTTTAGCCAACTGCATCTCAAGAAAGTGAGAAATGCAACTGTTCTCCTATTTAAATGAGAAACAATAACAATAGATTATACCACGTACCATAAAGCTGCCAAGTAAACTGAATAACCTAGCATTTTTATAAAAACAAATTGTTTCAATTTTAAAGAAAATTTAATAGTAGCAGTAACATTTAAGTGAACAGAACAGCATTTTATTTCTTACCAATGCACAAAACATTTATCCCACTTAGGATACCCCAGCAAGCTGGGGCATCAGAGATGAGAATAACCATGCTGAATTTTAACAGCACTCATCTGCTGCTGGGAAATTTTCCCCAGCAATCAGTGGAGCAGCTGCTGCAGTGTAAGAGGTCACAGGGCCAGTTGTTCACAGCCATTCTGACATCTGGAGGGGTGAAGGCTGTGCAACAACCTGTCCTGCTGTCTTTTGAATCTGTCTGAGAGTGCTTCTTTGGTGAGAGGAAGAAAGAGCAATCACAATATCCATTCTAATAAGTTCTTACTAATTAATGAGGAAGAGAAACAGCAGCATGTCAAACCATCAGAGGGGTGAGTGCAGCTAAAAATAAGTGTCATCATATTCTGTGGGGAGCATAACACTAGAAAAGGGAACAGATACCAGAATTACATGGTTGATTAACCAGTGGTCAGCATTACTGTGAATGCCCTGTCATGTCTGGATAATCTAAACTGTGTTAAAATCAATAAAACAGGATTAACAATTAATTAGACTAGAAGTACATTTTTTACTTTGCACAAGGCACAATGTGTTTCTTTGGCTCACAAGTCATAATGTAACAATTGCTGGAGAACTCATTAAATCAGTGTCACATTTCAGTGGAACACTGGCTTGTAGAAATTTTTAACAAACATGAAAATTGGCAAGAAGGAAGTAAGAACAGGAGTGTCTGGGTCTCCACCTTAGTGCCCAAATAGGAACTGAGATCACAGGCTTTAAGGCAGAAAAAATAAAGACAAAAAGGCAACAGGCAGACCTTGCCTAGCATTGAAGGAGTACAAAATAAACCAGATTGAGGCAAAGCACTAAACCATAATATCTGTTAGTCCCTAAAAGGTACAAATGACCTGTCTAAAACATAAAGCTGGTGTAAAAAAATAAAAAAGGCTTATATAACGTGCAAGAGTAAAAAACATATATAAAACCAATATCCTTTAAAAATAAACACTTCCAAAATAAAAACTTTCTGCGAAACATACAGAAGCAGCAATGTGAAAGCATAAAAAATATCTGCAGGAAAAAAAAAAAATCAGGCTGGATGCAAGATTTTTATAGGCTAAGGAATATTTTTTCTCAATAAAGCAGGTGCCTATGACAGGTTGAACATACTACTGTTTGTAAAAATGTTACCTCCATTAACTGTCCTTAGTAACTTCTGCTGGCTGCCAAACAAATCAATGCACCTTTACCAGACATCCAGACAGACTCTGGGGCAATTTCTTTTCAACTCCTCCTCAAAAAAAAATCGACTCAGCTGTGGAACTTAATGTGATATTATTTTATTACCTGGGTCCGGAGCTGTTTGACTTCTGATTCAAGTTCTTTGATTTTCTCCTCTCGTTTCTGCAGCTCTGCTTGTGCCTCTTGTCGAGCTGTGAACTCTTCATCAAACTGCAAAGATTTAACCAGCACAGGAGAGTTTGTGCAGTTATGGCCACACCAGAGCCTACACTGGCAGGAATTCTTTGAACAACATCAGAGCTGGAGCAATTGATACACTTTTAACCCTTTTAGCAGCGTTTTTTAACATGTTCACTTTTAGTACCACAATTTCTTCTATAAATCAATGACAGAGAACCAATCAGATCCAGCTACTCAGGTTCTTCCCTCCAAGAGAACACTGCAGACTTCTCAAACCAAACTCGAGTACACATCTACTGCAGCAAGCTTAAATTCATTAAGAATTAAACCTGCAACCATCATGTTCAAGAACATGTTCTGCCATTTGGCCTGAAAATGCCTACTTAGATCAGACCAGCAAAAAATACCAAAATTTGGAATTATTTCAATACACACCTCCATTATACCTGAACTTCAGTACTACTGCAGCTAATATAGCACATTCATTCATTTTTTTAAGCTTATATCTGTACTTAAGTTATTTAATTATGACTATTTCGGGACAGGAGAGCAACAAGTGGATTGTGAAAGCCACTATTTCCCAGTTTCAGCTGGGGAACAAGCTGACTGTGTTCCTGTCAGGATTGTGTTCCACACCATGAGCAGGACTTACCTTCCTGGAAAATTCTGCTGCTTTCTTTTCACTCTCTTCTACTTTAGCCTTGTCCACACACGCATCTAGAATTTAAACAAAATACCACACACAAGTCAAGTCAAACATGTCACATCTCTGAGGTGCTTCCAGCCATCATTACCCTGTGAGCCCATGACACAAAAGCAACAGGCACTTTTTTTTTTTGACCCTGTTTCATTTCATTAAAGGCTGCAGCATTTGTTCTGGTACTTCACAAGTACATCTGTAGGTAAATGAATATTTCCAGAACACTGACAAAATTCCCAGCCAGTGTTAAGTCCAGACAGAAGATCACAAAGAAAAATAAAGTAAAACTGCTTAAAGAGTACAAACCAACAAGATGTGTAAAATTGATGTCCATCCTTCCTCTGTATTTAAAATCTGGGTCCGTGCCACTGCAGTGCAGCACTATCTGTGACACACATTCTTCTATGATCTTGTAATACTGAGGTCTAAAACAGGAAACATTTACAAGACAATAAGAACATGAACAAGACTTTATGCAGCTGGGAGGGGGGGAAACTAACTCCTAATATCTGAATTCTACAACTGTCAGAAGAAGAATCAAGTTCAAATTCTTATTTGTAAACATTTTGGATGTGACGCCTCGACCTTGCTATGACAGTGCTGCACATAAGGGAAGTTTACACTGAAAAGAGCAGATCCAAGGCACGTGGGAGTATTTTCAATTACCAGTTGTACAACTTCCATGTTCTTTGAAGCAATGAACATATCAAACTTGAATAAAGAAAGAGTGCCCAACAAATAAGAGGTTTTTGGCATGAGGGTGTTAGACTGAGCTTCAAGTCTTTGAAATAAACACAATTATATTTACCAAGACCTTTTTAATACTAACATAGAGGAAAAAGATAGATAACACAGTATCAGAGGGACTTTTTAGGCATGAGCTACTCAGTTTACCAGGGTCTTAATTTCTATTCTTGCCCCTCTTCCCCCCAAAAATGCAGCCTCACCGGACATAGTAATCGTTCCTGATCAGGAGGAAATGTTGGAGAATTGACAAGAAGTAATTTTCAGAAGAAGTATCTTTCACCATGTTGTACAGCAGATGAAATACTTCGCTCACATCAGTGCAAACATTGTTAAGAAAATAGCAGTACTTAAAAAAACCAAAAACTTCAAAAACAAACAAAAGCCCAAAAACCCCACTGCAGCCAGAACAGCCACCCAAACACAGCTCCCCAGATATTCCCATATTGTTCAAGTAAAACCCCTCCACACTGAGAGCTGTCCCTAGCAGAAAATATTATTTTTCCACTAAGATTATGCACAGAATTTCTGTGCCCTGTTTATCAATTAGGACATGTTTCATTATCAATCAGAAGAATCGTATATAGACTTCATGTTTTAGAGTCCTGTAAAAATATTTCACACAAAGCTTTGCTTCCACTCTGAGCTCAGCCAGGCTGTTGGCAAACACACACTGGTCAATGTTTTTCATTTCCCAGAGATGATCCTTACTTGTAATTACCTGTTCTGCAAAGCAACAACATTCCAGGGGATTTTATAGTCCTCCCACTGATTGCCTCTACCTCCCTCTGTTTCCTCCTAAAATCTGCAAGCAGTTCATTCTGAACTCAGGTAACCTGGAATTTCCTGCTCCTTCAGTTAGAAAAGGCACACATCTGTAGTGCTTCAGAACCTACAAGAAATTTTGTTCCTTTTATTATCAAAACTCATTTTTCTTCAAACGTATGATCTTTCCACGGGTATAATTTTATCTCTTCATGTATTATGAGACAGAGTTTAGCTTAATAAATGTTATTTATGAAAAATTAATTCAGTTCCCAATGACTTACATTTGACATGCAAATTTAAGCACTAATTATCCAAATATTTTCCAACAAAAAAAGCAACTGGAGAGAAATCTGCTTGACAAAGCCCCTGGTAAGACATACAACTGAGACAAATAACCTGCACACAGAGCACTGTAATTTCCATTTAATAAAGTTCTGAAACAACACAAGTTATAACGGCATTTCCTTAAAGGATATTCCATTTCAGCTTTGATATCATTGAGACGATGTGACAGTTCAAAGTGGTCTTCATCTTTGTTCTCATCAAACACCCTCAGCTGAATATCAAGTTCTTCATTTTCCTTATCTTTCAAGGCCTGTTTTTCAAGGTAGAGTATATCTTAATTTTTCCTTTTTTAAAGAAAGAATTCCCCCCCTTGAAGGACTACATCATGACGAAATATAAAGACATTAACCTTTAGAACAGCAGCAAGTCTCAACTCAGTGCCTGGGCTTTTTTTATTATAATGATTCAACTGAGAAAAACTAAAGGCAAAGCATCAGCTCACAGAGCAGGTATGGGCTACAGAACAAACAAGAAGATTTCCAGTTGAATCCATTTCTCTTAATGGGACAGAGCAGTTCCTGCTTGTTAATGTCAGAATTCCATTAAAAAAACCACAATAGGTATAAAAAACCATTAATTGACATAAGCTTAAGAAGTTTAAAGAAGTGTGAGAAGATTTGTTTACAATTTCTGTTCCTCAGTTAACCTAGACCATGGCATTAAAGCGTTCATAGTAAAAGGAGAAATACAGAGGAACAAAACAAAGCTCCACACAAGTTAACATTTGGAGCAGAGGAAAATGTGCTTTTCTTTTAAGAAATGCAAGGACCTGTCCTAATTCCCAGAGTTAAGCTGAGCTTCCTACCAGCCAAAGCACATAAAGTTCCTTCCCATCCATTGATGGGAATGCGTTCCATGACTGAAACGGAGCCTGGATTTGTCCTGGCTGGGTGCAGCCACGTGTGTCCCCCAGCACAGGAGCAGCTCGTGCCAGTTCCAGTGCTTGAAGGGCAGAGCATCCAAAGCCAGAGCTCTGGATCCCCCTCCTGACTCTTTCTCAAGACATTAGCTGTTCAACATTTTTAAAATAGACTGTTATCAGCAAATATTAATTGCTTTTACACTCAGAGCTGTATGGCAGATGTTGGTACTCTCTCCCAAGTTTTCTATCGTATCATGATTTGTTACAATTTAGTTTCTTTGCTACCTAACCCATCCCCAATTCTTTACATTATAAAGCATTTATTGATTCTATAAAATACCCATACATGCCACCTGCAATCAGAAACACAGAATGCACATCAATACTTTCAGTCACTGCTTGAGCTGAATTATAAAACCAGAGATGGAAATTATTTATTATGCAGCACACATGCAACACTTGGGTTTATTTTAGCAGCATCAAATACTGCCCTGTTTCCATATCAGGATGCTTCCACTGTATCAAAAATTACCATAGGAATGATCATCACAGAATAATGTCGTGGACTGGTGTGAGCTGGAAGGGACCTTAAAGCCCACCCAGTGCCACCCTGCCATGGCAGGGACACCTCCCACTGTCCCAGGTGCTCCCAGCCCTGTCCAGCCTGGCCTGGGGCACTGCCAGGGATCCAGGGGCAGCCACAGCTAACCTGCCCACCCTAAAATCATGCACTGGTTATTCCCAAACTAAAGGTGCCCATTGTACCTCCTTCTCTTTCTTCTTAGCACTCACCACTTTGAAAGCAAACTGTTTCTACAATAATTAACAACTTAAAACCCCCACATCAGAGCCACCCAATAAACACCCATACCCAAATGAGTCACATCACCAGGTGTTTTTTCCATTCCTGCAGAGCACTTGTGCAAAATGCCTGGTCTCAGGATAGTGGCTAATGCTTTAATTGAACAGCTGTGCACTTTAATTGATTTATTTGAAAATAGGTAGACAACAGCACAACGCCAAAAGTGCTGATCCACTTTAAAAGACTAAAATGGCACTCAAGGGAAATAGCAAGTTTGGTAAAAGATGTTAACTGCAAATAGAAGTAGCTTTAGAGTAGGACAAAAAAAAATCAATAGCTACAGAGGAAAAAAATCAGATAAAAAGCACCTTCCTGTTTTAATTACATTCACTATTTAGCTTTAATAGAACACCTTATGGAGTCTCAAATTTCTATTAAAACACCCTTTCAAAGGCACTCTCTTGATAGAGCTGCATCTTCAGATAATGCAGTATCATCGTGCTTGCTTGAATGATTCTTGTTATTTTACTACTATGACATGACTTAACAAGCCAAAGCACATGTCCAATCTGAAATTAATAGAGAGAAGAGGTGCCATCTGCTCTGATTGCTTCTGCCAGAGAGACTCTGCCTTAATGGCTTGTGCTAATACATTCCCAGCAAAGAAGGATTTTGTCAGAAACAAGGTAATGAGTCTTGCAATTGTGCCTTCACTGAGGTATCAGTGAGCTTTGGGAGGGGGAGGCTGGCAGGAATGCGGGGTGGTGGCTGTGGTTTGCCTTAAATCAACAAGGTCATGGAGTGGGAGACAACTCCAGGATGAATTCTTCAGTGATAGCACTATTAAGATTAGAATGTCATTTATAGAAACTTATTGGCCATCATTAACTCATCAGCTCTGAAACAAGAGGTGCTGATGGTAAACACAGCATTAAGGCAGCTACAGCTGATGTGTATTTGAGCCAGGACTGGAAAAAAGCATCCCAAGGATACCTCCCCTGCCTGTATTTTTCCATATTTTTCAGCCAAAGTAGCTGAAAAATAAATTTTAGTATAAAATGTGCATAACTACTGTATAATGAGAAGGTCATAAGTCAAATTCATCCTTTATTAGGACATTCAGCCACTTGGCCTCTACGCAAAAATGGCAGTACCAAAAAAACCCAACCAATCCCAACCAAAAAAAGCTTGCATCTTAATGCCAACCAAAACTCTAGTGCCCACAGAGCACAAAAACCTCCATCCATGGACACAGAAGCAGCAATAAACATGATCTAAGTCATGACAGTAAAAACCACTGCCACAGATTAATTTATTATTTTATAAAAATAATTTTAATAGCTCACTAGGTTACCCTCAGAGGCACTAGTGGCTGGTGAAAGGCACACGAACACACAGAGCAAGGAATGCAGAATCCTTGTTGACAAAAGTACCAATAATATCCTGGTGCACTTCACTCATCCCAAAAGGAACCCTGCCAAAAATGGGCACACCCCATGCTACACCTGCCATAATTAGCATATATCTGAACATTTAAGAGGCCACAGGTACTGCTGCCTAAAGTACCAGCACTGGGACCAGATTTATTACCTGAACATTACACCTGGCATGCAAGGAAAGAAACAGCACTAATTGCTCTCTTTACTAAGGTCACGATTTCTTAATCCTATTTTTGGGGAAAGAAGTGAGTTCCTTGGCCTCCCACCACTAACTAGTAGAAAATCTAGTGTCAGTAAGGCACTGGTATTTATTTATACTTTTTCACTGATTAATAGCACTAAAAGATATGTGTGTGAATCAAAGATGACCAGGCCATAGAGAGTGTTCAGCCTTTCAGCTGAAGCACACAAAGGCAAACCCACCTGCAGCTGGATGAACTCGTGGTTCTCCAGGCCTTCCACGATCTGGGAGAAACGTTCCTCCCTGCTGTGCCTCTCAGCAGCAGTGGTTATAGCACCTAAGAGCTTGTCCAGGCTAAGAGAAAGACAAACTGTCAAGAGAGCACGGCACAGCCAACTCGCTCATTTTAAACATGTTCACACAACTCAAGGCTTAGTGCACTGACAGAGCTGAAATGCATTTATCTACAGAAAGCTGAAAACAATCAAGAACCAAGTGTTATAAATGTCTACAAGATTAATGCTGAAATAAGAAAAAAGGGGTGACTAAATCTCTATATTATTATTTCAGCAATCAAACAACCAATGAGGGGGAAAATACCTCCCTTTGCAAGACTGTGCACTTGATAACAGCTGACATGTTTAACATCTGGAAATTCTAATAAACTGTCCTTTCAGGAATCTGAATGTTTTAATCTATTTATTGCATAGAAGACATGAAGTTTGCCCATTTTAACCTTCAGTAAATAAACGCAGTGGTGAATTTACAGGAAACATATGCCAAGTGATCATCTTTCTTTCAAAAATCTCATGAGCAAGTGCTAAATAACTCCGAGTTGAATTGTTCCAAAGCCCAGCTGTAAATGTAAACTCCTAGTTCCTGTGGTAGAGGTGATTTGTCCTTTCACACCTTCCACGTCAGCCACAGTGTGTAGGTCTCTGCTCATTTGCTTTTCTCTGATTTAATACTCAATTAGGGCAACACAACAGGTGAAGTCTCTTTAACTTTAAACCACATTATTAAAGACTTAACAGGTTACATTTATTTCACTGGCAACTTTTCTCACCTGTGTCCAAATTAACAACTCACGAGCACCAAAAAAAGCTTCAATATCTCACTTACATGTTCTCCTCCCCAATAATGCAGAGAGCAGAAAGGATTTTCACTGTCTCAGTCATCATGTGTGGTTGCTTTGGATCAATTGCTCTTGACAGCAGCAAGAGGCTCCTTTCATCTCCTAGAATCCTTTGCAAACCGTACTGGCAGAAACAAAAAGCTCATGGTGAAAAGGTTGTGCTTGCCTTGGAAACTCATCACCAACCTGAGATCCTGAGGGATTCTCCCAACCCCTCCCTCCCAGAAGGGTTTGGCAGCACCCCACCAAAACCCCACCAAAACCCCAGGCCATCATTGCTAGGGGACACAGCTCAGGCTCCCCAGACTTGCATTTGAGGCTTTCTCCTGACAAAGAGAGATTCAGCTCCTCAGGACACCAGGACCTTGTAAAATCAGTACCCACCAAAAGACAAATCAGGTTTTATTTTCTGTCTATATCTGAAACACCTCAGAAGTATGAAAAATCTGCTTTTCTCCCATTTCATTTCTAAACTGAGCAAAAGTAATTATAAGTAACTTTTATGCAGTTTTATTTGCTGGGGAGGATACATAAATACAAGACTTCAGATTTTACTATGAATGAAGCAAAATTTAACGCATCAGCTTCTAGAAGGTACTCATCCTCTGTAAACCTGAGTAACTTGTGTTAGAAAACAAATCAGATACAACTTAATCTAACCCTTTACCCATGACCTAGCAACTTAAAAACTGCAGCTAAAAATATATCAAACCCTACTCAATTTAAATCAGGTTAAAAGTACATTATATTAACAAACATGTATTGAAATCTGAATTTGGAAAGCTTTTTTTTTAATATTTTCCAAGTAATTAATTTCCAAATTTACTTACCTTAAATTTATACTATCATCCTCTCTTTATCAAACATTTTACTTTCAAAAATCAATAATATTTAACAAAACTAAGAAAAAATGCAGAAAGATTCATGAAGAAGACTCTCAACAGAAGTTACACTAAGTTTAAGACCTGCATTCCCAAAAAGTTAAACACTGGATATACAAGCTTTCCTTCCCTCTCCAACACTTAACATGTTATATACATATTGAACTCAACCCCAAACATGATGGAAGTATGTGAATTTAAAATAACACTCACTTTGTTGTTCATAAATGCTTTGAGGCACTGGATAAGTTTATGTTGATTTTTCTTATCAATACTTTCTTGCCTTGAAAGGAAAGAGGAAAATCACACAAGGAAAATCTTCACAACCTCCCCATCCCTCCCTTCAAATGATCCAGGTCCTTACTGTTTCTTGTCCAGAAGCTTTTCCAATGCATCCAACAGGAGCCCAAGACCTTCATGTCCAAAATTGTTAACCCAGCTAGAAAAAAAAAACCCAAAGAAAAATGTTTTTAATTATTTCTTAATCAAATGCAGAACTTGCAGAGCTATTTCTGTGTTGCTGCTTGTGCATTCCTTCACAGGCTCAATTTTTGGTCTCACTTCCCAAAGGACCTGATCAGCCACAAAGGCAAACAGTTCCAACAAGTACAAATTGCTGAAAGCCACAGAGAAAGGTGAGGAGATATTGCAGACAGCTGCAAACATTTCACTGCTCCTGATCCAGGGTGCTGAGAACACTGCTCTCCCGTCAACAAGCATTAGCATAATTACTCTGGTTTCAAAAAAAAACCCCAAAGCCCACAAGTCTCCTGCTTAGCAAAAACAGCATGATGAAAACTACTGCAGAAATTGCTCTGCTTACCTGACTGGGTTGCTGGTTAGAGACACTCTCAAAGACTCCAGGCAATTCAGGAGTTTTTCATCTGAAATTCCAGAACGCAGTTCATGGATGTATTCTTGTGAGGACAGGGTACATTCGTGCTTGCTGTTTTTTAGTCCCCCCTATCACAGAAGGCAGAATGCTGCTGAGTTTTCTAGTGATCAAACAGTGCTTAGATGATAAAACAGAAGACTAATATTTCCATATGAATTTCTAAATCATAGGACAAGTATTCAAGACAGTTGACTTGACTTGGATTTGTCTTCAGTGTTTCATATTTTGGTTTTACATTACATGGATAACTATTTTTGCTGGAATCTTTTTCACTTCTTTGAGTAAAAGTACATGTACTACAAATGGAATATAAAAATTTAATGCCATCACTCAGCTGCATTAACATATTTAATGAGACTGCATTATACATCTACTTGACAACACTGTAATGGAAACAATCATAGACATACAAAAAACCCAATTCATGCAACTTCCTGAGCCAATTTTTTGCTGTACCATAGTTCATGTTTGACCCCTAACAGAGATCTCTAGAGGATCTTTGCTGCAAAAAAAATCATACAGGATATTTGACAAAGAGCTCCCTCCTGCTGAAGTGCCACTACACAAGAATAACTACTTACACAGTATTTCACTATTAAATACCTGAGTATCAGTTTTTACAGCTAGAGTATTCAAACTCTTGAACAAGACAAAACATTTTTCCAAAAGGTGCAACTAATCTTTTCTACAGCTCTGACAAGTTGCAGCAGGCTTATCTCAGAAGAGTGGTTTTGATTCATTTGCAGCTCCTAAAGCTCCTTAGCTCTGAAGGGTCTGTTGAAGAGAACCTGATAAAGATGTCATGGGTGCAAAGGCAGTATCAAGTGCCTGTCCTAGAAGAGGATTTATATGCATTTAATTGTATCACTTCCACCACAAATATTCAAATTGTCTCTCTTTCACAAAGCTCCACTTCTTATAAAGCTTCTGGTTTGCTCTCTTCAAATTCTTACCATTCATTTTCCAAAAATACACTGAGTATGGCTGATGACAAGATGACTTGGCTAAATTTAAGTTCATGACTTTGCCCTAGCCAGATTCAAGGCACAAACCAGAACTGTGTTCACAATATACTTTCAGATTCAGAACAGAACCAGGACAGACTGTGACTGCAGTGAGACACCAGGGTCCTCTGCACTGTGTCAGCTTTGAAGATGTTCCTTGCTGACATGCAAAGCACCTTCAGCTGGGCATCACATCAAAGGACCAAGGCAAAGATGAGTAAGAAGGACATAGAGGGACTAGAATCAGTCACCATCAACATCCTAAACAAAGAGATGCTCTTCCACCGAAAGAAAAAGGAATAAATGGGGGGAGTTATATTTATAGGAGTAGGAGCTGATGGTAAATCAGATTAATACATCAAAAATCATCAAAATTCAGAAAAATCATCACTCTGAAGGACCATAAGGTAAAGAACTAGGAAAAAGGAACAGCTTTATCCCACCCATTGGATGGATGGCAATCAGAAGAGATTTTGTTTGTAACTAATGCACATCATGTACACAGTACAGATCCAGCTGGGCACAAATGCTGTCATTTCAGCCATGCCCCAAATGGTAAAAGAAGAGAACAGAAATGCTTCTGAGAGCCACAAAATGTACAGAGATGAGACAATGGCAACTTCAATCAATGCCAGTTAAGCTAGACCCTGAACAGCACTCTAGAATGCAAGACAGTGGTTTCTCCCAAGAGATGAGATGAGTTTGTCCTTCCACAGCTGCAAGCTCCACAGGAGACTCTGCTACTCTGGACTGAAGTCTTTGCTATTCTTTGTTTCATATTTCATCCAAGGTGGGATCTTGCTCTCTCTTCTTTCTGTGCCAGCCAGGCCGTTGCTGAAGCACCTCTGCTCTGCCTAGTCCCTTATTTTCAGAAGACCCATGACTCCCTAAAAAATAGATCAACAGTTCAAAGAACTGGCAGTGTGCTCTGCTAAGGCTCCTTCCCACGGCTTGCAGGACAGGCACATTCCTTCATTGGTTCTTTGAAAAAGCACCTTTAAGTGCACAGCAATAAGGAACCAAATCCTCTTCCTTATTTTCCTCCTCCTTCAAAATGGATGGTCACTCAAGACAGCTCACAAAAATCCATTCTTGAAATCTTTCAGAGAATTTTCAGCTTACCAGGATTACTTTTTTATTCCCTGCAATCAATCAATGTCTCAGTCTCAATCCTCTTCACCTCCAGCCATGCTAACTCAAATGCTGAACCAGGTGTTACTCCTTTTATTTCCCTATTCAAAGACAGTTTGACTGGAATACTATTTTTAAGAATTGCTATGCCTTTATATGGATCAGATTTTAATACAAACATTTCTCATTTACTTTGAGGTGTAAGGTCTCAGTCAAAAATGTTTAACAGGAGAACACCTAATAAAGATGGAAGCAAAAGTGAAGTAGCAAGAAACTGAAGAGGGTTGGGTCCCACATCAGTATGTTCAAAGATTAAACCAATGCTCAAGAAAGAAAATTTTAGAAATTCCTTTATGGCTGGTCACCTTCAGTGTTACAATTAAGGCAGAGAAGAAGCACACGGAGGTGCAAAGGCTCTTTAAGCAATATATGCAGAAGCCATACACCAGGCACAGCATTTTTTATTTTAGTATTTAGCAAGTTATTTGCACAAAAACATGCTTTTAATGCAGAGTTGTTCTTGCTCTCTATCAGACTCTGAACTCAAAGGCATGGGAAAGAAAACATCTTAGAATTTCTCCCCTACCCATTGTGGGAATATCAGCTTGCTTTACAAAATAGCCTCTTCACAAAGCAGATGTTCAGGCTAATTCACACCAAAAGGAAATTACACAGCAGCAGGGATTACTTGAAACTGGTTTTAACACACTGAACTGGAAAATTAATAATTTTTCCCATCAAAAAGCCAATACCTTTAAATACATAAGCACAATTAAGATATTTTCCTCAATTAGGGGAAGAGCCAATAGTGTGCACAAAACTAAAAAGTACTGGTGGACATAAAAGTCTCTTTAAAGGCCCCTCTGAATAAAACAAAGCCAAGAGAAAAATATACAAGAATATAGTGAGTAGGAGAAAAACCTAACTATATCTGAGGTGATGATTAGACAGCTTTAAATCATAGAATGTTCTCTATTATTTCTACTACAGAATTTAATTACTGAATATGGCCTAAGTAGAAAGCCTTGCTGTACCTGAAAAGCCTGTTTTGGCTGTAATAAAAAATAAAGTCCATCCATCATTTAAAAGAACATTTTTGCTTTCAACCACTATTTTAAATCCATATGTAATTATTCTCAAAAGAAATCCTATTTACTAGGAAACAAAAACTTGCTGAACTCACTCCAACAAATTAAATCCCAAATATTTGTCTATAATATTTGAATTCAATCAAAACAACATAAAATGTAGATGAGTCCTTAATAAGAGAAAAGTTATGCTCTCAGTGATCTCATCTTAAACATATTGACCTCCTGAATCCTCTAAATTAATCTTATTGTCACATTGATCTGCTGAAGTTGGCATTTCCAAGACAAGCTATGAATAATAACAATTAGAACATAAAAATTTCCACATCTAAACAGAACAAAGTAAGCCAAATATTGTCAATTTAAAATTTCAAGTGCCTGCCTTCAATAAAAGGCAAGACAAGCTTAACTTATATTTGTTGCTCATAATGAAGAGATGAGCTCAGTAAGTTTGAGGTATTTGGAAATTGACTCCTGAAAACTTGAAGGAATCCCTCAAAAGTGTAAGCAATGATCTCATACTGGTAAGATAAACATGATTGAGGTGGTTGACAATTATTCTGATAAAACAAGGATTTAGTTGTGCCCACTGAACTTTTAAAACCCAGATAAAAGTCCAAAATATTCCAGCCTAATCTCTAAAAAGGGAAGTTCATAAGAGAAAACAAAACTCTCGTGTTCGTACTCACCGGAACTTTACTTCCGACTATCTGCATGCAGTGGTCAGCCAAGAGAGGTTATTGTGTAAAAAAGATAATAATAATACATAAATAAACACAGCACAGTACTTAGTAGGATGTAGTTGCACACACATTTTTCAGTGTTTAATTATTAGTAGTAGTTGCATTCTTTTATTACTTTATCAACCTGTTTAGGGGTTAGAGCTTCCCTGACAGGAAAACAGCAGCTCTACAGCAGGAGCAATAATTTCAAATTCTTATGTTTTGCTGCTGAATCTTCAGTATTTGACACATTTACCTACAAATAACTAAATACCTTTCTTGACAGCTACATCTTGAAGGATTAAATATGCCATTTGTTAAAATTATCAGGTCAGATACTTTACATATGACACTGAGAACACACTAATGGCATACTGACTTCCTTGTATGTATAACAACTGCTTTTATTATGGAGCTTTTGATCTGTTTAGATGATGTCACCACTGAATTCAATTAAGTTTTCGTAATCAAAAACATAGCCTACAGTTATAACTCCAACTTGCATTTCAGAAAATCTCACATGACATTTTTATTCAACTGCTCAGTATGGATGCTTTTAATTACATGGATAATTAAACAGTGATTTTCAGAATGCCATCTTCTCTTTACCACGGAACAGCATCTCTCTATATTCATGAACAAAAAGGTGACTTGCCCCAGAGGAACCTGCAGGCAGGCAGCACATCTGTGCCCTGTTCTGTCACCCTGCACAAAGGCCCACGTTGCTGGGAGCAGCAGGACATGGACATCTGCTCCAGCAGTGCAGCCTCCCCTGCTGCGGGCTCACAGCAGCCACTTCACTGCATGTCCACCTTCATCTGACCACAGCTGCTCTGCTTCTGAGATCCCAACTGCACTGTCTCTGCTCAGCCTCTACCTGCTTCATTTTCTACAATTTCTCTTCCATTTTTCCTTTAGGAACTCGTTGAGAAACAAAAGTCCCTGCAAGTCTTTCACAATCAACACTTCACTTCCTGAAGAAGTTTCCTCTACAAGCACAAGAAGGGATTGCCATCACCAGACAATCTGTTCTCCTAATTTACTGTCTTCTCCTCTCACCAATGTTCAACTAGTCAGTACAAAATGTCACTGGGGTCAGTTCTGAAACAGAATTTCAATCCTTCACCAGTTCTCAGGTATAATTTCTATGGTCAACACTCTCTTTAAGTGAGAGAAGGAATGAGAAGCACAGAAAATCACTTCCCATGAAAGCATCCAGCTCATCAGCTTCTACATATCCTCCACACCCAAGGAAAACTTTCTCCACCCAAGGAAAACTTTCTCCTCCATACCCAAGGAAACCCAAAGTTCCTCTCTCAGAACTCTGAAGACAAGTGTTCCAGAAAAGCATGGTCAACATGCTGCAGACAGCACACAGGCAGAGAAAATGAAGCACCAAATTTAAAATAATTTGGTTAAGACAACATCAGCAAATGAGAGTGATATTTTCAAATGAAGGGAGGGAGCTCAAAAGCCTAATTAAAATCATGAAATGAACTGCAAGAAAAGTCACATCAACTGTTAAATGTGTTTTGTGAGCTCTAAGCAGAAGGGCCAAGTATTTGCAGTGTAAAAAAGGAAGACAGATAATTATCTGTGACAAAAGAAAAAGGTAGAAAATTTAAAGACAGATAATTTTGAATGCAACCAGCATTTTCATGGAAGACAATCCTGAAGAAAGGAAAGTTTGACAATTCATGATGCAGTAAAGATTGACTAGGGCTTGAATTCATTGAGCAGAATAGTAGTTGCACTAAAGAGAAGACGAAATTACAAGTGAAAGTGAGGTTTGGCACCACCATAAAATCCCAATCAACATTTTAAAATTAACCTCTGTATTTTAATTTTTTTTTTAACAATTAGGATGATAGCTATGTAGAAGTTAAATTAGGATAACACACAGAAAGGTACTGTATATTTCTGAAAGATTCCATTCAAATGCTGTGATTCAATTGCAAGGAGGATGTACTGAAGCACACAAACTTGAAGTGTTTTTCCTCTAGGAAAAACACTTTGTAATGTGTAAAACATCCACACTGGTGCTGACTTAAGCCCAAAGCGCACATTCATGTACGAGGACCCTTTAGGATGACTTGGTTTTATGTTATTAGTGCATTTAGGCTAATGCCTTCCCAGTTCTGTTAGGTTTCCCACGCTGCAGCACACATGGGGAGCAATGCAATGCATTAACATTTCAGCAGTGAGCCATGCAATGGTAGCCATGCTTTCCTTACTCAGCTGCACAGTTCTGGGCCTGGAGGCAGCTACATTTCAATTGCAGTGTACATGAGAGACATCACCATTGTTCAACTACTTTTTGGGAAAAAATGCAACTACTTCCATTTCTACTTCTACTTTCTACTGCTTCACTAAAGTATTTTTGCATACTAAGAAAAAATCCAGATTTAATATTGATCATCAAGTGAAGATAAAAACCTTACAAAGAATAATTAACAGTTCCCAAAGACAGTCTAGTTCATAGTTCATAACATTCACTGCCTAAGCTTGAATAATTCTCCATTAATTTGTACATTCAGTTGGACCATGCTTAAAGCACTGGATTCCTTCCAGCACACACTAAAGGACTGTGGATTTTGTTTAAGTTGAACTCATGCAGGAACATCACTCCTCTCAGGACTTAAATCACCACTTTCATTACCATTTCATCACCATTAGAACACAAACTTCTCCGCACTGAAGTTTATAATGTTTCATGCATGGCATTTGCATAATAATTGCATGTCATTGTCATCTTAATTTTTGAAATTTAACTCTGCAGAACTGATTTTCAAGGTCAACAAGGGACAAGTCAATTATACTACTTGCAGTCCATGCTTAAAGATTCCTTAGCCAGACACCAACATAATCTTTACTTATTTCTATATTTGCCATAGTTAACTTTTAACACACACAAGGCATTGCTGGTGTATTTCATAACTAATTCATACAAACAGTTCAACTGCAGAAAAACTGCAGCTCTTCACTACTTGAAATTTTATTTCTCCACCCCAAAAATGCTGGTGTATCCAGTCTTCAATTTCCTTACACGCCTTGCATCCCAAAGAAGACAGAGATCAAAAATTCTGCATGAAGGTTAATCAGTCAATTAAATTACAGAGAATAATCAACATCAATGAAAAGTCAAAACATTTTTTCTATTCAAAATGTAATTTGGAACTGGTTTTAAGACCATCCTTTCACTAAAGGAATCTGGCACATACATTGCTACTGAAACCACAAAGAAACTTTGGGTACCAAAAATTCTTAAGATGAATTGCACAGAAACATGCTCAGGTTCCATCCATGACTCTACATCACTGGATTTGCAATTTCTTATGATTTCCAAGAAAGGACCAAGTTTTGACATAGCCCAACAAGGGAAATGCAAACTAACCGTTCAGATGCAGCTGCAAGCATTCAGAAGTGTGTTAGTAAGTACACATTTATTTTTTCCTACCACTCTTAGATAAATCCAGATTAAAAATTTCAAGTTTCAAGCTTGAAAAGCCTAGGACTCCAAGCCAAGCTCCTTCCTCAGGTGAGTACTTACGGATTTGGCAGTTGCAGAAATGTACTGGACAACCATCTCACGCTTTGTGCTCAAGTCTTTGTCTCGCAAAGGAGCTTTACGTTCCTCGTTCAGGTTCATGTCCTCCTGCAAAGAGCCAGACCACACCACATCAGGAACACTTCTCAGGATTTTTAGTAGTCTTTGTTCTTTTAAAGCTACTTTTGTTAAACAGTTAATTTTCAAACAAGCAGAAGTGACTTTTTCCAGTTTATCTGTGCGTGTTTGATTTTGCCCTACCTGATTTTCTCATTTAATTCTGTCACCTCAAGTGCTGATTGTTTTTGAGACTTACCCAAAATTTAAACTGCATCGAGGGGAGTTAACATTTCTGAAATTTGGCTCAAGAAGTAAAACTAGAGGACAAGCACAACAATTCTACACCTCAAGTTGATGCAGAAGTGTCAACTCTTGAGATGTCCCTGTGTTTTTAGTGAAATCTTATCACAGTGGACACCATTCCTCCATTATCTAATCAGAAGGCTGTAATTACATGGATTACTAGCTTGTGGAAGGGGTAGAGGTGAAACTGTTCCAACTGATGTATTTAAAAAAAGCCTAAAAGTCAAAATGCTCTGCTAGATTAAATCTCTTAAGACACTTCTTTTAACTTGATAACAGATTAAATACAATGCAGTCATTACTAGTCATGACTAGGCTTGCCATTGGAAGTCAAAGTAATTTCAGACTGGCACCTAAGAGCAGTCAATGCTCCTGCAATCACTGCTGGTGAACAGCCTTGTCACAGAACTGCTAGTGTCTGTGAGACAGATCTATTGTCTGCTTCAATTAACATTACTTGGAAAAGTTAAAAACTAATGCCTTAACAAGCAAATCAAGCAAGAGTTAATTAACACTTATCCAATCCTTCAAAAGACATTCACAGCTCCACTGAACAGAGCAGAGCTACCCAGTGGAACAGGACAGTTTTCCCCACACCACATCTTACCATCATTTTCTCAAAGAGATCCATAACTTCCTTCTCTGATAAGTTCATGCAGCGCTCATCAACAAGAGCCTGGGCATGTGGGATCTCACTAATGGAAGGCTGGGAGTCAATAGGATGCTGAATGAGGGGCTTCTCTTTCTTCACAGCCGATTTCCTGAAGCTTGTGATTCTGTCACGCTGCAAAGACATTCCAAAATAAGCAGAAATAGAAAGAGAGAAAAGCAGCCAATTGCATGGCAGTAATGCATGTGTTTTTAGTTAATTCAAGCAGCAGAGTTAAACTGAACTGTAAGTAAAAATACTCTAATATTCAGAGATTACTTTGCACAGAAAGACAATAACATATAAGGTAAACTCATGACAGGTCACATGCAAAAGGGATTTAAATAATTCTCACTGATCCAAAATTGCACCAGCTAGGTTAAACTCTTAGCACTTCAAAATCTTCTCCCATTACTAATTATCCTGACAGTGAATAAATATGGTACCACAAAGGTAATGTCCACTGTTCTTTCCCCTGAAGAGCTGTAAGTCTTTGGAGGACAAGTGAAAAAGGCAGTGTGGGGAAGGAGGTACTCACAAGTTCATCAGGTTTACAAAACATCCTGCTAAAGTAAAATAAAGTTGGTAGAGGAATTAACGCTCCAAGCATAGCTCATAGCTCCTTGAAGAGTTTTTGAGGAGGAACTCCTGGAATTAGTGCCGAGCTTTAGAAAGCCAGGTGAAGGATTGCTGACACAGAAGCAGCACCCATGGTTAAACACACGGGCAGACGCAGCCAGGGCGCTCTCGGGTTAGGGCTGACACCAACCCCACTCCTGGGCTGAAAGCATGCTCAGTTACTGGGTTAATACTGGAAATAACCAGCACCTTCCTTATAAGGCCATTTCTGCTGTATTTGTAACATAGAACTCTATTCTGAATAAAGTCCGAATTTTCTCATTCAATATCTGTGGTTTTTTATATATATACATATATATGTTCAATTTGAGAACATCATGCATATAGCAATTTTCCTCAAAGAACTGTTTGCATCCACAAATACTCCTGTATTTGTTTCAGGCACTCAACAGCCTTATGAAGATGTGCTTTCATCTGAGAGCAGCTTATGTAGGGTTACCAGGATCACTCATAGCAGTCACTGTCATCTCCACCAAAACTTGTAAACCAAAATTTATATTGGCTATAACAAAACAACCTCCCTGAGATTTGAAATGTCTAATGGAGACAGACTTGGTTTGCAAAAATTTTGATTCATTTTAGATTAGCAAATCCAGAGTGGAGACACTAGAGTGAGAGCTGTGGAGTGTGGAGAAGAAATATTATTTTTCTGGGGGTTTTTTTCTTGCTTTTTATTTGTTTTTGTTGTTCATTGTTTTTGTTGCTATTTTTGAGATCCTCCGAGATTACCTTAAATCTCTGAAGGAAAGTGTCCCTAGATAAGCTGCACTCCCTTTCAGTTTCTTTTGAACTTTTTTTTTTTTTTTTTTGAGGGATGGGTGGTATGGGGGTTTTCTTCTTCCTTAGATATTTTTATATTTGTGGACAGAAGCACAATACCTACAAGGATACTGTTAATGTCTTTTACAAAGCAAGAACATTAATCCATTTCTACCTTATTATAAAAGTTCAAATTACATTTTTGGAAACTAAAATTAGGACATAACTTGGTGAAAAGGCCAAGGATATAACAATGCCTGAAAGGCAGATTCCAAATTTAGCCAAATGCAGTTTTATATTGACCATTCAACAGTCACAAAAAGTCATTTAAGGTCCAATTTCATCACACTGTCATCTGTTTCAAGTGTAACTTATTAACACCAAATTTGTTCAATGAGATTGCACTGGTGAGATCACTGGAAAGACACAAAGGAATCTTCTGTGTGATTTCCAGGCACCATTTCCTCATTTCAGATGTGCAGACAATCATTAACTAAAGAACCAGTCTGGCTTTATTTTGTAGATATATAATACAAGGCTGTAATTTTAATGAGATCAATTTTGATACAAGTTTCTGAAAAAATACTTTGGACCCAGTTTCCAAAGTATTTTCAAAGTATTCAGCTTCATCAAGTTAGTGCTACTGAATACACACTTGTTCCTCAGGGGACATTTATTACCCAAAATGGTTCCACTTGAATCATGTGGCAACCAACTTTAAGAGCCACTGCAGACCATTTAGTGGTAAAGAGAAGGTCAAGAGAAATAACACTTCAACTGTTAAGTAACAGTTTCAACATAGCCACAGTATTACTAAAGTATTTCAAATGTGCTTAAGGAAGTTTCTCCAAATAGAAATCATGATAAATCTTCTTCAACTGAAGTCACAAATTAAGGTCTTTAGGAATAGTCATTCAACTTTCTGAAATCTAATGCTGAATATCCTTATAAGAATGTTATTTTGTCCACAACACTGAGTAAAGTAGCATGCAGCGTGGAGTTACCATTGCAAATTAAGATGCTACAAAGGCCTTACCACATCATCTGCCAAAGTTTTTATTTGAATATTCTATTAAAGAAAACAAAAAACAACACACACAAATCAAAGAAAAAAAGACAGTGTTACCTACTGCTTCAGAATAAAGGAGTCTATTTCATGTAATTGAACATTAAAAAGCATTTGAAATTTCACTAAGTGTACTAAAAAAACTGCAGGCAAATGGACACGGAATGTCCATTTTTCTGTGAAGAAGCAAGCTTGCATCCCATTGCACCCTGTCCTCTGGGTATGGAATTGCTGCATCTGAAGGCTGCAGAGCTGCAGCACCCCAGCACTGCCCAAAGGAGCAGCCAGGGCTCCCAGAGGGTTTCCAAAACAAACACAGACAGTGCAGGGACTGCGAGTGCGTCAGCAGAGCCGCGGGCTCTGAGCTCGGAGCTGAGCACTGCCCAGCACCTTCCCGTGCCCAAACTTCTGCAGCCTCCTGCCAACCGCTCCTGGCCACTGAGTCACGGCAGCCTGGAGATGAACTGGCTGAAATCACTGAAGTTTAATGCACAAACCACCCTCCCTCCCTCCCTCCCGCCCCGTCACTTCTTCCTAAGCAGGAAAATCCTGCTGCCAACAATCACCAGCCTTACGTTTTTATTCATGGCCAAAAAAGCCACCCATATTGCACACCCACATTATCAAGGAAGCATTTGGTTGATGAACTTTGCTCAGTTGACACAAGGCAGTCATGAATAGGAGTTCAGGTCTAGAACTCATGGGGGGACAGAATTTGAGAAGCATTCAGAAGTCCGTGGGACAGTGGAGAGGACTGACCCCAGCTCACAGGTCAGTCCCCACACAGCCCCTTGCTCATTCCCTCCCAGCAGGATCATGTGGCCAATCAGAAGTACAAAAGCAAGAAAAACTTGATGGTTGAGATATAAAGACAATGTAGTAAGTGATGAGAAGAAAATAAAGAAACAAATAAAAAAGCCATCATTTGGCACAAGCAGGCCAATGCCTACCCAGCTTCTGAGTGCCTGATGATTTGGAAAAACTGCTCCTCCCCACCCTGCAGCCCTGCCTTTACTGCCCAGCATGATGTGATGCGTTTTGGAATGTCTTTGGTCACTGCGGATGAGCTGTCCCAGCTGTGTCCCCACCTCCAGACCACCCACCCTGCTCCTGGAGGGAGCTCACAAGAAGCAGAAATCCTGGAGACTGGGAAGGGCTGCTCAGCAAAAGTTGAAGCACTGGGGCTCTTTCTGCCAGTGCTGTTTTGGTCACAAATCCAGGACACAGCACCAGATGGGCTGTTCTGAACCAGCTCCACCTAAGCCTAGCCCAGTACAGACATCTGCACATCCAGCTGTTGACACCAACCTTTCATCTTCCAAACTGCCACATCTCAACCCTCCTCCTTACACCTCTCCTGTATTCTCCTCACCTGGACTTAGTATGGAATTTATCACCTTGAAAGCAAAACTAAGATGTCATTTACCACTCTGGTAACCTTTTGATTGAGACTGCTGGGAAAAGACAAAGTAAAGCCTAACCCTGTTTTTAATAAAGAGACAGCCAGGCAAGAAGTTCTGAAACTCCATATACATTTTAGGAGCTACTTGCATGAGAACATTTTTTCCCCTTCTCATTTAAGTACTGTCAATCTCTGCCAGAAGCTGGAACAGGATCATCTACCCCATCTCTACACTTATATTGCATTTGTCACTCAAACTCCTCTGGGCAAAGTACAGAATACTAAAACAAGATAGCACACTGCATTTTTTCAGACCCTGCAAGCACTCTTCCCAGATATCCTTCTGGTGCACAAGCCCCACTGCTGCCAGCAGCCACTCGAGATAAGCAGCACATTTAACAGGTAGGAGAGACACTGCAAGTAGCTGGAGGCAAAGTCAAGGCAGTTCTGTACCCACAGATCCTCACACAATTTTGACAATCTCTTGTACTAACAAAGAAATCGCACTTCCAGGCTGATTTCAGAACATAACCCAAAAGTGGTTTACCTCCCCAGAAGGAAACTTAAGATATTGTAGATTCTGTAGTCCTCTAGCATTATTCTTTCTGCCATCTAAGAGACAGCCAGAGCAACACAAGACAGAAAAATCTGTACCTTCCTAGCTTGTTAAAGGCAGAGTCCCTGTTTGCAGGAGCAGCCCAAGGGAAAAGGCTTCACAAAAATCCCTGAGGAAACATTTGCAGATAAGGGATATCAAATTAACTTTTATATCTATAAATACATATACAATTTAAGACAGCTGTAGATAATCTCTCTCCTAGTTATAATGTCAACACAAAGCACAGAATTTCTTCAGCATCTATACCAGAGAACTATTTCCTACTGATGGACTTAGTTCTGTGCTTAGAAGATTTAAGTGATAAAACTTCTCCCTTTCAAACACAGCCTTCCCAGTCCATCAACAGTTAATATCATTTTCTATTCACTCTTCCCAGTCTTAGTTTACTCTGTGTATTTGGCTACTTTAATAAGCACAGACAGATCACGACAGTAAATCACACAGGAATAATAGCATATACTAATGCACCTGCACCAGACAATTCCTTTATCTCAATAGGTTCAGCCAAGTTAATATTCAGAGTAATTGATACCTTGCACATGAAAACAGTAGAAAGATATTTGTGGATCACACATTTCCTGATGCAAAAATCACTGCTTCCTCATGCAAACAATGCAGGCTACAGCAGCAACAATGCCACATTCACAGAATCCAATTACTTGAACTGATTGCATCAACTTTTAATACAAAACTCACAGCAAGCCTACTTTTTTATAACTTTCTAACTTGTGTTTTAATAAAACCTTCCAAATCACTTAAGCTGGCCACGAGTTGTACACTGAGGTGCATTTACATGGATTGATTACATTTAAGCATTACTTTCCCATGTTCTTAATTGTTACACTCAGGAGTCTCACTCTCACCACAAAAATCAATCAGCAGTAACTCCCAGCTCACCACACGCAGAATGAACAGTGATCAGCTGGGTAACTTCTAAACTAAACTAAACTAAACTAACTAAACTTCTAAACAGCAATTGTCACTCCATTGCCCAGGCAAGCTGTGGTGTGCTGGAACACCCATTTCTGCACCCAGGCTGCAAGCCCAGGGAGCAGCTCCCACTGCTCCCAGCAAAGCTCATTTTCTAGGGGTAGCAACCAGAAACTTGACCTTCTCTCAGCTTTCATGGTTTGTTTTGTTGTTTTCTTGGTTTTTTCTTTCTTTACTGTGTTGATATTGCTGTTTTCTAAAATTTACCTTGACTTCAACATCTGCAAAAGCCACGGTAAAGCTCCACTCAAGGACAAGTTTTATAATTTGCATACAAGCAGGAAAGGAATAACTTCCCATATGAGCACTTGAACCCAGGGAGTTTAAAGGTACAAACCCCAAACTGGTTGATATTTGAAGTACAAAAAGTTGTCTGCATCTTGAATCTAGGTCTTAGTCACAAAATAGAACTCACTCCCACAACCTCTGTTCTTCAGTTCAGAGAATGAATAATGTTCCCATTAGACAATTTAACCATCTGTTAACATATTCAGTTTTGCAATTAAATCTAAAAAGGCACCTAAGAAATGGTGAAAAGATACCCAAGCTATAAAAGCTGATGTGCAGAAACCAGGACTACACACTCACTTAGGCCTTTCAAGATCTTTACCCATGATGAAGTACACCTGACATTTTGTAATTATTTTTTTTTTTACTAATTTTATTACTAATGTTTGCTTTAGCATAATATTTTTCACACTTCGAGGAGCATTCCCCATGCTTTCAGAAAAACCTTGAAATGACTGTTGTAATCCATCTGCTTTCTCCAAAACACTTGAATTGAGCAATACCAATGGTTTTGTTACTATTGTTGTACATTTACATTTGGGCTATGTGACACCATATGGAAAAAATCTTGTTTGCCTTGCAGCTGCTTGCTTCACAATCTCCTTGAATGTGCATTATTCAGTGTTTTAAATTCAGGCTCAACCTAGAACCTGAGCATGGAGGGAAGTACAGGCTGCCAAAATGCAGATGGAGAACTGCTGGCATCCCTGAGTCAGGGCAGGATGGCACCAGCTCCCAGAGGGAAGCTGCCAGCTTTGCCCAATTTCTCCACTTTTTCCCCAGGAGAATGACCATCCATAAATGAGCAATGCTCCAGAAATAAGTCTGATGATTCCTCGTGCTAAATAAAGCCCGAGGGTCAGCCAGGCTGGTACATCATTAACAGCAGAGGGCACCAATCCTTAATCACCTGCTGGGGGATGCCTCAGCACTGCTCCGGAACAGAAGGGGAGGAACACATGCCAGAGGCATGGGGATCATATCAGACACTGCCCTCACAAATGCCAGGGACTGAAGTTTTGTACAAAAGCAAATTAATTCAGAAATTGAGAAAACAAAATCACTGTAAACAAACAGTCAATTTCATCAGCTTTGTAACTGAAGATGCAAAAGGAGTTGAGGAAGACACCTGAACTAACTTTTTTATATATATATATGTATATAATTTGAAGCTCAAAGTGCCATCACTGTTTTGAAGAGTTTGTTTCAGACAATGTTTTCTTGGTGCTCATTGATAAGTAAACTTTAAAAAAACAGAAGAAAGCGATGAGCTTTTTCCCAAAAGCTGCAGTTCCACATCAGTCTAAGCCAACAAAATTGCTGAGTGTGAGACACAGGGCAAGGGTGGCAGCAGGGCACTCAGATCAGGTGGGACAACTGTAGGAACATCTGCCAGTGCAGAGGCAAATTAAGGAAGTCCTGGCATTTTCCAGAGGCACAGCTGAAATCCAAACACTTCCCATCGAGCCTCCACAGCAGCTGTCTCAGACAAGCTGCCAGTCCAGCAGCCAGGAGCAGCAGGGTTCACATCCCTGCAGCCCTGGCTACAGCCAGGAGCTGGCTCCTGCTGGGCACCTGGGCATCCTGCAGGACAGGACTGCTCTGAGCATCTGGAGAAAGGGCATTGTGGAGGTGCAGCATGCTTTTCATTAGAGACAGCATGATGTTCACAACACAAAAACCGTCTCTCCTCAGAATGCTCCA